TCAGCATCTTAGCTGTAGAGGGCAGTGTCACTGGCCCTCATATGTGGGCTCTGAACCGGGGCCCTCTGGCATCCCAAGCCAGTTCTTAACCATCGGCACCACTCGGCCGGTCCCGGGAGATACTGCTTTAATTTTAGTTAGCCTAAAAAACTAGTCAGATGATTTCATTTGCTTACATTAGCTTGTAAAATAGTGATAAATAGTGTCCTTTTCAGGTAAGCCAGGAAAGAATACATTGATGATTATCTTTTCTCATTGATTGAGCCATCCAACAAAGATCTGAGTATCTGCCCTATGTAGCTATTAGTACTTAGGGTTCAAAGACCATCAATCAAGCTGCAGCTTTTGTAGAATTCAAATTCTGATGGAAGCCAGGTGGACAAGTGCCATAAATGTAATAGTGCAGCAGAGTTTACCATTGTGGTTTTAATCTTAGGCTCTGGAATCAACCAGATTTGGGTTCAAATTCTGTCTTTCCTATTCACTTTGACCTATGGCAGGCAGATTCTGTGACCTCTTTGAGCCTGTTTCTTTTTCTGTAAAATGGAGACACTAGTACCCACCTCACAGAATAGTGTGAGGATACAATAACAAAATGAATACTTGTTGAGTACCTATTATATACCAGCCACTGTTCTAGGCCCTGCGGACAAAACAGAGAGCAAGATAGGCAAACCCCATGCCCTGATGGAACTTACTGGCTAGAAAACAAATATATAATGTTTGGTAGTAATTAGTGCTATGGAGAAGAAGTATGGGAGATGACATTTGAGCACAGACCATGTGATTGTCTGAATGAGGGAATTCTAGGTAGAGGGAACACCAAGTGCCAAGACCCTGTATGGCCTGCTTATAGCTGAAAATCAGTGGGGCTAGAGCACCGCACGCGAGGGGAAGAGCGGCAGGAGCGGGAGAGGTGGCCGAGGGCTAGGGCATGCAGGGTCCTCAGGACGATGGATTTTACTCTGTGTGTCGTGGAGAACCATTAGAAAGTTCTGTGTAGGGGAGGGACATGATCTAACTTCCGTTTTGAAAGGATCACTTTGGCTGGTGTGCAAAGACTAGATTGTATAGATGGAAGATTGGATACAAAGAAACCAGTTAGAGTTCTGTTGAAGTAAAGCCATCCAGGTGAGAGATGATGGTGGCTTGGGTAGCGTGGTAAGAGCCTTCAGAACCTAGCACTAAATTCTCAATGTTGGCTGGTATTTGTACAAGGTGTGTTGAGAGCTTTGAGGAGTAATTGGAGAGGTGTGGGAGATGAGGATGGAAAGGTAGAAGGGAAACAGATGGTGAAGTACCTTGCATGCTTTGAAAAGGTGGTAGGGCTTTATCTTGAGAAAATGGTTCTCTGGCTGTTTGAACTTGAGGATCTTTTGGCAAATCCCTGTGACTGGGAAATGACATGCAGATATGGATACAAACCACTTTTATAAGCAATGGAAGTCTATTCAAGGATTTTAATTATTCCTTGATCAGATTTGTGTTTTAGAATGACCCCTGGTTAGCCAGTGTAAAAACCACAAAGACTGATGAAAGTGCTTGGAATTTCCTATTCAGAAATTTGTTCTTAATTTAGACCTAATTCTGATAAGCTTCTTTATCTGATAAGCATTATCTTAGCCAGATGAATTTTGTATTTAGGAAATTAGAAGGAGGACATTACTATTAAATAGTTAGAACTGTCTTTTTTTTTTTGAGGAAAGAAGAGATAGCTAATAGGGAAAAGGAACTAGAATAGCTGCTTTTCAAGGTCAAGGAGTATTAGTCTATAACGTCATATTTTTATAGTGTTGCTCTCTTCACAGGGACCTATTCTTTGACTTTGGGTGATATCCATAATTGCCGTTTATATTGTGTGATGCGTTTACATTTACTGGGGACCAAAGAAATTGTCATAAGGTCTTGTGGCATTGAGAAAATGAATTTACTTTTATATGTCTGGTTAAAATGGTACTGATTTTTCTTATAAGTCTTTTAATTACTATTTTGAATATGCCTGATCTTCAGTTTCAATAATTGTCTATTCCAGGTAAGCAGCACTGTAATAACTATATAGCATTATCTCTATAGCATGATTTAATATTGGACTTTTTCATTTTATCTTCTTCAGAACAACAGGATATGGATTTGGACATAGAATTTGATGTCCATCTTGGAATAGCTCATACCCGTTGGGCAACCCATGGCGAACCCAATCCTGTCAATAGCCATCCACAGCGCTCTGATAAAAACAACGGTATGGACAGATTGCACGTGCTTTCGAATGACTGTAGCGGGCCAGTAACGGGAGAAGAACGGAAGCCCTGATGGTTTCATGATTTTAATGTGGAAAATTTCAAACATAAAGTAGAGAGTATATAGAACCTGTTGAATATAGCTTCAGCATTTATCAGTACATGATAAGTCATGTTTATCTGTACCCCTCCAGATTATTTTGGAAACCAGTAGATGTCATATAGATAGCTGTATCACAGGTAACTAGATACTGTAGCATTTAATTAGTAAATATTTAAGTGTATATCTGAAAGGTAAGGACTCAGTAGATTGATGTGTTTCTGAAGTCTCTTAAGAGACTTCTCGTGTTCTTTCCTTTTCCTTGCAGTTTTCTCTATTGTTCTATAGAGTTTTCTACAGTATAGATCTTGTTAATTGCATGCACGGGTCATTTAACATGTCTTTCTGTCCCTCCTATTATTATAAATTGGTATGGTGTTTGTTTACATCTGGAGGTATATAATTGTTAAACAGTAACCTGTGAGGTTGAAAGTTTTTCTGAAAGAAAGGGTTTATTGAGCCATCTGCTAGCCAGAAAAAAGACCAGGTCCTGAAACATACAGTCTAAACTACTGGCAGCAGGGCTAGATGGAGAAGACAAACATGTCTTCCATCCTGGGATTGACGGGGCTCTTTTATACAATGAGTTTGGAGAAGAAAGATGTAACATGATTTGGAAGAATTTACATCGGTTCTAGATAAGGGAGGGGGAATAGGTAAAGCGGGGTAGTTCAGGGATAGGTGTATGGTAAGGAAGAAGTGTTTGTTGCTTTTGGATTGGTTGTGGGCAACAGTCTGGAAAGTTCATGCGTAAGCAGGATGCGGTGGTGTGTGGTGGTTGGCTGTTCTTTCTAGATAAGAGCTGAAATAAAGTTGAGTCAAAGTTTCAACATACATTCAGGAATGTGAGCAGTCTTTTGTTGGTTTCTGCGTGTGCCTCTGTTAACTGATTAGGGATTGGCTCCCCCTGTCTCTTCTTTCCACCCTCTGGCCTGCTGTAATTTACTTGGATGCCTCAGGATTTTTCTTCTTGTCATAATATTGGATGTTTTTCTTTTTGTATTGTTAACAGTCATTGATCATTGGCATGATCATTGCCAAGATTAATTATTTCTTTAGAAGTTTTAAAATGGTGGTAGTCTAATGCTATCATTCCATCATTTATTGTGGCACATACTTGTATAAAGAGAAACTTCTCTACATCAACTGTGTGGTTACCCTGAAGTACAGGGTATATAGAAAAGGCAGGATAAAGGTTTGATTGTTTTTCCTGGTTATTTACCATTCTTCCAAAATGAAGTGGTTCAAATGTTGTAAAATGAACAATGAGTTCCTTTTAATATTATTATAATAAACTCAAGGATTTAAAATATTTCATCTGTTTCAAAACACTGAAGTAATTAATTATCCATAGCGATGCACAGATTTTTCCATCTTTGGCCATTGGGAGCTTATTCAGGTTGGCTCCTGAGTCCTTTTGATGGGACCTTAGTAGGCTCAATAGTTTGTGTTATTTTCTGGTAGGTCAAGATGTGTCGTGTTCATCTCATCCTGCCCCAGACCTGGAATCCACCATTTCTCTAAGGCAGTCCTAGTTCTTTTTAGTGGAAATGATACTTAAAGACTATACGCCAGGTCCTAGAAGTGCTCATTGCACCTAGACCTTTTCAGTGGGCAGAGCTAGGAAATGCATGTACCTCTGTGTGCACATGCGCAGTTTAAAGATAAAACATAACGTTGTTTTACATTAACACTTACAATTCAAATTCAGGGCTATAAGGTTTTTACTTAGCCTCGCTGATCTGTGTATCTCCTTTCAATTACACCTAAATACGTAGGTCTTAAAACTAGCAACGTACTTATTTATCTGTCACATGATATATATAAAACAGGATAATAACCAACACTAGCATAACAATATATTTACTGTTGTTTGTTAATTTTTCTTGTTAATTTTTTGTCCTTATGGTATCTTTCTCTAGGGCTGTATAATCAAATTACTGAATAATCCTTCTCTATGTGATTGTGCTACCCGCTGGATACAGCATTATTATAATACGTTTTATTTTATTTTGAGTGTTAGGGATTGATTTTTCTTTAAAAATCAATTTTATTTACAACTATTTAAAATGTTTGCATAGTTCTGAGGTCACACCTATTTAAAAAAGCATACTAAAGTAAGTCTTTTTATATTAGTTTCCTTATTCTATGTCTCCCTGGAAATGGTCATTTAACAATTTTTTTTAGTGTCTGCTGTTTTTAAAAATAAGCAAATACCTACAAAAGTATATATGTGTATGTATGTGTGTGTATGAGTGTATCCTTTTTAAGATAAGATTTTTACTTTAATTCAGAAGCTACCTTTTTAGGTTTCTGTGCTTCACAGAATTATTATTGAATCAGATTAGAATGCTAACAATAGCTCAAACTTTTAATTCTGACAAGGTCTTATAGCTAGATTATATTTTGAGAATTTGGTTTTAAATTTTAGGCTTTATGTTAACTATCAGCTATTTACAATTCTCTATGTTCTAGAATTAAACTTTTTTTAAAAAGATTTATTTTTGTAGTATTTTGTGGTATCTTTTCTTTTTTAAAAATCTAGTGAAAATTTTTATTATTTGGTTTGTAATGAATGCATTCAGTCTAAATTCATTTAATGTCAGACAAAAATGTCAGATTTTTAAATATTTTAAAAACATTTTTATAGTTTATTATAAAATTGAGTTTAGTGGTAATTTCTCTCCTCACTTACATGAACTTTAAATAATAAATTCATATTAGTCTATATGTATACTGTCAATAGCTACAAATAATAATATTGTCAACTCTTGATTATCCAGTCTTACATTTTTCAAAATTATTTAATCAAAAAAGATGAAAACATCCCACTATCATATGTATTAAACATATGTATAGAACAGTATGGAATGCTGTTTTAACATTTATTTCTCTGACATTCCAGGAATTGTCTGGACCCCAGATAAATAAATTTAATTATAGAACTGAATAACAACTGATTTTTCTTATTGACTTTTTAACTTTAGTATTTTTTTTTTCCCAATTACAGTTGACATTCAATATTATATTAGTTTCAGGTGTACAGCATTGTGGTTACACATAGTGGTTTATGTAACTTATGAAGTGATTCCTCCAGTAGCACCTTTGACACCATACATATTTACTATTATATTATTGACTATATTCCCTATGCTTTACTTTACATCCCCATGACTATTTTGTGTCTGCCAATTTGTACTTCTTAACTTTAACTTCTTTAACTTTAGTTCTTAAATGCATTTAGTGTAAATCAGGTTAATTGTTTTAGTTTGAAAGGTTTTCTCTTTAAACCTAGGAATGTTTTGTGCATAAAATGAATGAACAAAGAAGTGAGAATAATAGTTATTTAGTTCAACCCTCTCATTTTGCAAATGAGAATACCGACCCAAGGAACTTGCTCCTTTCACATGGTGACATTAGATTAGTAGTTTAGTAGTTTAGACATCAACTGAAATTGATGTCTCTAGACACTAGTTTATTGTATTTCCCCACTATACTCATCTCCCTGGTGCTTCCACTAATGCACATAAATCTACCTCAGCATAATCTGATAACGAAGTCAGTAATACTTGATTATACCGTGAAGTATAGCATGTGACACATTTTTGACTTGAGAAAAATCTAGTAACAGTAATGACTATAATGTTTACCAGACCTGTAATATTTTGTCATCAATACCTTTATTTCTTTTAGAATTTATTGTTATTCACAATGGAATCATCACCAACTACAAAGACTTGAAAAAGTTTTTGGTAAGTAAGGTGACCTAAAAAGACACTGACCTTTGACAGTTTCCTTCCTTCCTTCCTTCTTTTTTTTCCTTTCTCCCTTCCTCCCTCTCTTCTTTCCTTCCTTCCCTCCTTTGTCCAGTTGAACTCTCTGCAGTGATAGAAACCTTCTATAGCTGTATGGTACAATATAGTAACCACTCTCAATACTCTCCGTATATGGCTATTGAGCTAGTATGACTGAGGAGCTAAATTTGAAATTTTATTTCACATTAATCAATTTAAATTTAAATGGCCACATATACCTAATGGCTATTGTACTGGATAGTACAGTGTCATTATTAAATAAATAATATTCATTATGGAATTAGTGTTTTGTGAGTATTATATATTTCATTATATTTTAATTATTTAAAATTTAATTCATTATGGCATGTATAGATTTATGTAATTATAAGTGTATGTTCAGTTATACAGACTACCTCACTGTTTTGGGTTCACTATAATTAAATGGTGACCTTAAATTTGAAAGTGGGTAATGGGGTACTATGGTCAAAAAAATGTAAGAAATTGGTTATTGAGATTTGGGGAAAAAATTCTGTAGAGATTTGGATATGATGGACACTACCTTAAATGTTTCAATTTTTCTTTTCTTTCTAATTACAGGAAAGCAAAGGCTATGACTTCGAATCTGAAACAGACACAGAGACAATTGCCAAGCTCGTTAAGTACATGTATGATAATCGGGAAAGTCAAGATATCAGTTTTACTACCTTGGTGGAGAGAGTTATCCAACAAATGGTATTAAATCACACTTTTAAAGATAATTATTGCCAACATTAATCACAATAAACTCTTAAAGTTAAGTTTGAGAAGCATGGAACGATGCTAATTTTTAAGTATTTTTTACTTTTATTTTCCATGTATTTAATTATTCAATTTGAATAATTTTGAGAGTGTTGTTTGACTGATTGACCCCTCCTTTCCCACACACTTAAAATTCTACTTCTTTCAATATAGCTTAGTGTCATGGGAATTAAAAGTAACCTAAAAATCAGTTTGTCCAAAAACTATGCATACACACACACACAAACCCATACATATCACACACAAATATGCACACAATCCACGCAGTCAAGGACTCATCACTTTGTTGCTTCCTCCTCACCACAGTGTTCTTTCCAGTCAATAACTCAGCACAAGGGCAGCTTCAGTGAAATGCACACTCTTTATTCAGGGATAACATCTGCATGTCTCTGAGCCAGCATAATCAACTCCTTGTTTTTCCTTATGGGGACTTCTCCTTGGTTCTGTGCCTCTAGAGAAAATTATTTCCCAGCCCCAGAGAAAAGTGGTATATTCTTTTATATCCCATCCCATTTGCCCTAATTAAAGATTAAAGGTAATCCCAGATCGACAAAAGTCTAAATGCATAGTGATTTCCAGCCCCTTACTTACTCATAACTCTAGCTTTCCAGTTTCAAAGCCCTTTTCTGTGAAGGTCCAGCCCTCACCTCCCACTTTCTGCATGTCTGCAGTAAAGGAAGAGACAGGAAGAGGGAGAAAATAGAGGCCTGCTCCGTTCTTTTACTCAAGGGAGAGTAGTGTGCCTTCCCAGCCTTTTCTTGTTTCTACTCGTTGTATAAGCCAATTTGTGTTCCATGGTCGTTCCTCCCCTGGACTGCCTCATGTTCCTCCTTTATTCATTCTTGATTTCTTTAGTTCCTGTACCTGAGGAGGTTGGTTTGAGGGGGTGGTATGATGTGCATGTTAATAATTGGTGATTGTGTATATTTATCTCCAATATCAAGGTCAAAAAGAGTGTAAGTTAACTGGTGAATAATCAATGGGCCAGAGAAAGGGATTTTGAATATTGACTTGGGACCTTTCCCAGTTCTGTCCTCCCCTTACTAATGTATAGCACAGGAGATATGATGATCTGTTAAGAAAGGTTGGTAGTATGTACAAAGGTGACTTTTAAAATGACCTGTTTGGGGGCTATATCTATTGAGCCTATTTCAAGAGTAGGCGTGGTTAAAAAGTGAGTCTTGGATACACAAAGCTCAGGAGGAAGTGTCTTCCTAAAAATTTACGCTCATTTATAAACTAGTGCAAAAGAGCAGTTGTGTAAACAAAAAATTTCTATGCTAAACCCAGTATGTTTTAAGCATTTTACATTTGATAATCAATAATACATATTACTAATGCATTTTTTTTTTTCCCTCCATAGGAAGGTGCTTTTGCGCTTGTATTTAAAAGTGTTCATTTTCCTGGCCAAGCAGTTGGCACAAGGTATACATAAATTTAATAATGACTAATGATTATATGTACTTTGAAACTTTTGAATTATAAATTTGTTCTCTGTACACTGTAAATGACACTTCACTATTAAGGCTTTGCCCTTTCTTAGAGATATTCATGTGAGCATATTTTTATATGCTCCTTCTTGTCAGTAGTTTTACCACGTTTCCATTTAACAGAATCCTGTAATAAATCAAATACATTTTGGCATTTATAACTGGCCTTTTGTCTATAGTGGGGCACCATTGTTTCTTTGTGAATTTGCATATTGAATATTGTCTACTTTCAGGCCCGAAACATTAACTTTATCCATGTTTTTTTTAAATATACTAGACAGCGTCCTAGGTAATCGTACCACCACTGGTTTTGCTAGCATATTTAAGCCTAATCTTGAAGTCTTTTTTAGAACAGGGAGGTGTCCCAAGATTTGGTAAGAGAGTGTTATCTCTGACGGCAGGGTGACTAAGGAGAAGGTGCTAAATGTTCCTGCATTGTTCATATATTGAAAGAAAATTTTCATTTAACATGACAAGGGAGAAAAATTTCAAATGTATTGTTATAGAATAGAGATAGAATATAGAATAGAAATCTTTTCTGTAACTGAACAGATCGTAAATGTTTTAGATCTGGGCCATGTGGGATCTGTAGCAACTACCCAATTTTGCTTTTACAGTGTGAAAGCTGTAGAAAATATGTAAAAGAAAGGGCATGGCTGTGTTCCAGTAAAAATAGACAAACCTGCCTCTTGTGGGTCATAGTTTGCCAACCTCTGTTACTGAATATATTTTTTTAAATTCTGTTTATATCATTCTTTTGTTATATCTGAAGTTGAGCTTGGAGGGAGAATTTGAACTTTATTTGAAGAGTGGTTTGTCATCACATTTAAATTTTATATCATTAATGCAGTATTTATAAAAATGGTTTAATTCTGTTTACTTTTGTACTAATAGAAGGGGTAGCCCTCTGTTGATTGGTGTACGAAGTGAACACAAACTGTCTACTGATCACATTCCAATACTCTACAGAACAGGTAAAAACTCTTCCTACATCATACCGTGGGGAAAATGTATAAATTGCAGTAGATACAAAGAATTGTTTTCCTTAAATGGACATAAACGCTTCCTCTGGTCAGGTCCACTCTTATGTATAGTTTTGTCTAGATATGAAAAGGATTTGTTTTGTGATTTCTCTGATGAGTAGAATTTTTTTCTGTTGTATGTCCGTAGCTAGGACTCAGATTGGATCAAAATCCACACGGTGGGGATCGCAGGGAGAACGAGGTGGGAAATGCACTCTGCATGGATGGGGAGGAGTCTTACCCTCTTTTGTTCATTCTTTACTAATTCTTTGTTCTTGGAGTGAGTGAATGTGCTGGGCCTCTAAAAATATGCTTATTTTATGGGGAGACATATTTTGACATTTTTCTAATTTGCAGAGTATATTTTGTCTGTCTGCTTTTGGCATTTAGAAAACTGCTTTTAGTAATTTGTTTCTTTAAAGTCTCTGAGATTTGAAAAAATAACTGAAATTATAAAGTATTTTTTCTTTGAATTAAATCATGTAGGATACATTATTATAAATACGATGCTAAGATTAGGAAAAGGACATTGTTTGCTAGGCTATTATAGATTGAACTCAGTGGTAGTTTGAATAATTCAGCCTAACTTTTAACTGACGTAGGTTTAAATTTTTATTTTATTTTATGCATGTCATTTTACTTTTAGATTTGCATTCAATATCTTGATTGGCTTTCTTTGAATTTGGAATTATTGTTCTTTTTTTGTTTATGTTTGAAGTTTATTTCTTTATAGAACTTTCAGCTGTGCAAACTCTGGATCATTTTGATATAATTAGACAAAACAAAAACAATGTGCTCTTTCCATTCACTTATTACTAAAAGCTTTCCATGTAAAAGACATGGAGTGGTAAATTCATGAAATTGGAACCCATATTATTAATGTATAATTCTTGGTTTCTTGAAAAAAAACGAGCAAAGTATTCTAAACCTATTCATTTTTAGATAGTGGCTGCTTTCACTATTTTATCTGTAGCAGAAAGTTACTTTCTTAAATAACCTTCAGTCCTGAGATGGTAGAATTTTTTATCTTTCTAGTCCCCCTCACTCCCTTTCAGAAGAAAAACAAGTCTACCAGTGAGAGTACAGATTTTGGATCCAGAATTCCAGATTTCTGTTAATAATTCTGCTTGTGTATGCATTACCTATATGTTACTTTGTACATTATTTTAGGCTGCTTTTAGAGACAATAGAAAAACATTGACTATGCTTAAGAAGTTGGAGGAAAAATTTATCACGAGACAGATCTTTTTGAGATCAGGGTTTGCATTTTAGTGACCCTTATTTCTCTAGCTCCTAGTAGGTAGATAGTGTGGACAGCTCAGCAGAGTTTAATTTAAAAAGTATGGCCTCTTATTGATGAGGCTGTATAGAGGAAAGAACCCTGGACTGGCTTTCAGGCTTTTACTGTTTTCTCCAGGTGACCAAATAAAGTGGGTGGTAATAATTGTATTATTCCACTTAAGTCAAATCAGATGAAATAATTAATATATGGAAAGGGAAAGACATTTCATAGATTGTAAGAATTATAGATGTCAAGTAATAATATTCTTTTCATTTAAATTGGCAATGATAACCTCATATTCTTCTAAATACTGTAAGTCAATATATGTACCTTGTTACTTGAAGAATGAAATAACAAATATTTGGAGAAAAAATATAGTAAAACTCAACTCTTTTAGGGCATTTTATAACCAAAACTGGTTGTGTTTATTTTAAAAATGTAGATGCTGGGCTATCCTTTTACTTATTTTTTAATTAACTTGTTTACATGCAGTGAAGTTCACCCCTGTTTTTAAAGACAAGGTAAAAGTTATTTCTCTGTCACAAAGGCAGTCCAGGGTTGGTATGGCAGCTCCACAACATTTTTAGGAATCCAGGCTCTTTGCAGTCCGTCACGCTGTCATCCCAAGAGTGTGTTGCTTATCCTCATGTTCCAAGATGGCAACCAGAGCTCCAAACACCACATCCACATTCCAGGAAGCAAAATAGAGGAAGGGGAAACGTTCACTCTTTTTGATGTACAATTTATTGAGTTCTATCAAACCCATGCAGTTGTGTAACTACCAACACAATTAAGAGTCAGAAAAATTCCACGCCCTGAAAAGTTCTCTCCAGCTGCTACTTTGTTGTCAACCCTTGTCCCCATTCCCAGCCCCTGACAAACACTGATCTGTTTTTTTCTTTCTCAAGTTTTATCTTTTCTAGGATGTTACCTTATAAATGTGGTATCTTTTTTGCTATTGAATTTGGATGAGAAGAGCTACTTTGTTTTTCATGCCGAAACCACACCAAATAATCATGGATTGTGGAGAACTTTAGATGTATGTTTCTAAGAATAGTTATTTCCAAGTATTTATAGACATACATTTTAGAGGATTAACACAATATGAGTTTTTACAAGTATATTTATGGTGTTCTCTGGCCATTGTGTCCATAGGTTATAAGGTCTATGTCCTAATCTTGGAGAAAGGTGCTTTTTTGTCTCTATGATGACATACAGTCTTCAATTAATAAATTTTTTTCTATGTTTGGCTAAGTGTTCAAACTTCAGTATGCTTTCCAGTGTTGACTTTAGTTGTGAATGAGCAAAAAGGGAAATAAAAAATCTTCATTAGTGACTTGATTAAGTAGAGATGCCAGAATTCTAAAGTGCTACAATTAAAAGGATATTATCATTGCAAAAGGACCATACTTTATCCTGACTTAAAAGAAATGTTAGAAAACTCAGTTTTAAGAAAGGAGGGGTTATGGCTTTATAATATTTTCATTCCTTATTGGTAGGTGCCACATATGATACAGCATAGTTAGAGAGTTATAAGTATCTTTGTTTTATTTTTAAGTTATAATTAGTGTAGACTACATCTTGATTTGTTACGCCAATTTACTCTTAAAATCTAGAGAAATTTTGTTATAAGATAATAAAAATTACTGTGCCAATAGTCTTCGTTTTATTTTTTGTTGCACAATTTTGATATTTTACATATAATTTTTATGATGAGTCTAGGTATAGAAACTTATATGTATTCATCCCATCACATTTTGTATAGTTAAATTGTTGTTAGACTATACATAATTTTGATTAAACAAAAGAGTTAGTGATTAATGCTTATTTGCCTTTTACCTGGAAAAGAAATGTTAGTGATTTGCCTGTTAACGATTAATGAATTATTTGCCTTTTACCCAAAAAACAAATGTTATATTAAAAATGTTAATAATGTAGCACTGTTATCTGCCACGCTCTCTTTGATAGTTGCCATTTCACTCAACACTTTTTGTCTGTTCTTGTTGGCTTACTGCATGGAAATAAGGTCATCTATCTGGCATTTAAAAAGTTGCTGAAGTTATTTTGTGTTGCTATGGTTTTTTGTTGATTTTTGTAGAAAGTTATGTATATTTATATACTGGCCATGGGTTTCTACATGTTTGCCGATTCTGTTAACTCTGTGCTCTAGGCAAAGATAAGAAAGGAAGCTGCAGTCTCTCTCGTGTGGACAGCACAACTTGCCTTTTCCCTGTTGAAGAAAAAGCGGTGGAGTATTACTTTGCTTCTGATGCAAGGTGAGCTTTCTCAGTTGATTCAAAGAATTTTTAATAAAACTTCTTATGCTAATGAAACCAAAAAGTCATTTTGTATAAATCTAGTCATGCTGTATAGGAGAACTTTGTTAATTAAAGGAAGTGAAAGTGACGTTTTGGAGATGGGATTCGACAAACATTTTTTCTCTCAATTCAAAGCACGGAGGTCTGTTTACAAAGAACAGATAGATAGTAGTACTTGAGACTTGTTCCAGTGTATTTACTCTGAGCTCCTGTGTTGTTTTTTCTCTTATTTTAGGAGTCTATCCAGGTTTTGGAGGGAGGAGAGATTTTTATATTGTAGAGTAGAATGGCTTAGTATCTCACCAATTATCGTAGAGTTGCTAACCTATTGCACTTTTAGGCCAGTATACTTTTCTTTTCAATTTAGAATTGGCAGCATAATTACTGTTACAAAGGAAATAGTACTAGACTAAGAGATTTTGAGAGAAAATGCAGTGAGATGCTTAGATGTATTTATAAATGAAATACTAAGAGTAATGAGGATAAAATGGAATCATTCAAACTGTCAACAAGTATTTGAGTCATTCATTTAAGGGGACCTGAAAATGAAAAATGTTACAGTTTAGACTGCAGGGAATGTATTAACTCCGTAAGAAAATAATCTTCAGTGTTTTCTAATTTTTACATATGTATAAAGTGCATAGTCAGTGTCAAGATGTATTATTGCTGTCATTAAGTAGGTTGCAGAGTTGACAGTTATGGCTTAAATAAACTGGAAGTTGCAGGAGTATCTCAGCCATTTTTCAGTCACTCATACCTCATATTGAACACCCTAGCAAAGTCGTGTGCTGGGCTCAGGAGTTAATGATGAATAAAAATAAAAATATTACTTGCCCTTAGGGAGCATTTCCTTAATGGAAGAGACAAATTTTAATCAATAGTCATACAAGTGTAGAATTCCAGCTGTGACAAGAGCTACAGAATGCTTATTAATAGGGTGACTTACTGTCCTGTGGATATGATGCTTGAACTGAGAGTTAACCCCTTGGGTACCAATTTCTTTGAAAAAAATTTTGCATATGGAATGGATTTAATTTTTCGGTAGTTGGAGTAATATGTAAAAGCAGTAGATTTTATGTAAAAATTCATTTCTAAAAAATCAGTGACATACATAGTATTGAGATGACTTCTGGTAATTAGAACTGCAAAACAAAAATAAATAAAAAAACACAAAACTAAAACAAATACATTCAAGGTATAAAAAAAGCAAATTACTAATAGTTATGAAGAGTATGGTATTTTTCAAAGCATGTAGTTAAATGCAGTGGCACTTGGCACTGTTTGCACTGCCAGGTAGTCTCTTTCCTAATTTTATGTTTATAACAAACACGGCACCTTTTTATAGGGTGTTTGCCTGAACTCAGTTGATGGAGTAGTCTCAGGAAAGTGTGCCCAATTTTTCGCCTGCAAACAAAAAGGTGTATCGCTATTTGAAGGACGTCCATGACAATTATAATTTGACAGTGACACTCGCTCCAATAATTGTTCAGCAATAGCTAGACAAAGCAAACAATGCCTGTTTTGGTTGTGCAGTTGATATTAGAATATAAAACATGTGCATTATAAAAGGCTATGTCTATTAGATAACAAAAAATTTTCTTATATCCCTTTACACATTTTCTCATAACAGGGAACCACGCTAGCATTTGATCCTGTTTATCAGCGCCTCCCATACCTTTATTACACTCAAGCACACATGCTGGTTTTATAATAGTTTCAATATCACCGCTTTGCTTTTTTCTCTTTTTGCCAAAGTTCATTAAAACTTTTGTTATCACTTTCATAAAATGTATTCCTTATTTCTGACATTATGGTGGAGTGTATCGCAAACAAGTTTCACCAAAATACTGTAATTGTTTCTTCTGTTGCAACTGATACAAACTACTCTAAAATGAACAAGAATGTACATGTTAAATATTGTCTTAAATCGAATAATGAGTAGACTTTTCATCTTGCTCTTAGGCAAAGCAAGTGCATGAGGAGTCTCAGTCATCTAATGTACCCAAGGGGTTAAGGAGATATTAGGAGTTAATTAGGTGAAGAGGTAGAGGAAAGAACATTTATTCTCTGCAGATGGTCAGCCCATAAGAGCTTGGGATGGGCAGGAATGTAACTGGAACAGAGAGGAAATTTGGTGGGAGATGAGACTAGAGGAGAAGATAGGGGTATCTCCTATCTCTTACCATGATAAGGCGTTTTATTGTTTTCCTAAGAGCCAAAGGGAAGCTGTCAGTGATTTGCTGGGTGAGGTATAAGTGCTGACTAGAGTTGCCTTTTGATAACCATTTTGGCAGAAATGGAGAATGAATGGATGGAGGGAGATTAGAGGGGATATGGGTGGACAAGTTAGGAGGTTGCTGTAGTAATCCAGCCAAGAACTGATGGTAGCTTGAACTAGCTTGTGGTGGTGGACACAGAAGCTTAGAGAAATCTTTAGGAGTTAAAATTGGAGGACTTGGTGATGGCTAGACTGAGGAAGAAACAACCATGCTTCTTCCTGATGTAATCTAACACAGTGTGTGTTGCTGCACAGAGAGCCTTTGATTCATTGTCCACAGTGAGCACCCCTCAACCCTACTCCCCTGTGGGGAGTGGCATTGATAACCAGGATGCTGTCAGTGATAGGGCTGGAGGATAGAGTTTGTACTTAAATTTGCTCCTTGTGTCCATATGGTAGTTTTATTTGTAACAATTGTCCTTGATTATTGATTGTGATATCTTCTTGAACGTTGTACAGTGCTGTCATAGAACACACCAATCGCGTCATCTTCCTTGAAGATGATGATGTAGCAGCAGTGGTGGATGGCCGGCTTTCTATCCATCGGATAAAACGCACTGCGGGGGATCACCCTGGGAGAGCTGTGCAGACCCTACAGATGGAACTCCAGCAGATCATGAAGGGTGCGAGCTTTTGTCATGTAATAGCTTGGTGTCTAATGGAAAGGAGGCATTCTACTTCCTGTGCTAGTGTAGGAACCTGACAACACAGCGTGAGCGAAATCTTCCACATGATTAGTGAAGGGATAATCCCAGGAAAAGGGATGATTCTTTGGAGAAATTATCTGCTAGTTTCACAGTAGTTCTTCAAACTAATTCATGGTTATTGCTTCTGTCATTAAAAAAGAGATTGATTATTTAAATAGTACATGGTATTTTTAAGATACTTTATAAACATAATCTGTGTTCTGTTCTTTACTCCTCTCATTCTCTCTATGCTTCAGTTTTCTCATATATAAAATGGGGGTAATAGGACCTACTTCATTAGGTGTTTTGAGGATGGAGCTAATATATGTAACACTCTTAGGATGGTACCTGACACACTTAATGAGCCCTGCATAATGTTTGCTACTATTAACTATTATGATTACTGTGGTGATGGTTTTCCTCCTTTCTGGTGGGGTTGTGGTGGGAATAAAAGCTAACATTTATTGTGTAACTGCTGTATGTCATGTCTTTGCTATATGAATCCGCACTACAATGCTGTGAGGCAGCTGCTGTTGTTATTTTAAGAAATTTCCCCAGAGCCACTTAACTAGTAAAGGATAGGACCTTGATATGAACCTAGACCTGACTCCAAAACTTAAGCTTGTCCCACTCCCCTGTTTTTCTATAACTGCATATTTTAGGTATGAAGTTAAGAAATGGGATGTTTCCCCCTTACGCATTTTTCTTCATATAGGGTAAAATGTCATATATGAATATTGTTCTCTATTGCATGACCTTTGGTTTCGTTTCAATTAGTAAGATTATATTAAAGGAGGTATACTTTCAGTTTTGTACAAATTTTTTATTCTTTGGCTTATTAATTTTTGTTTTAATGACATAATTTATATTACTCTAGGCAACTTCAGCTCATTTATGCAGAAGGAGATTTTTGAGCAGCCAGAGTCTGTTGTGAACACCATGAGAGGAAGAGTCAACTTTGATGATTATACTGGTAATTACATACAAGTTATTTTATTATTTCAGAGTCTCCTGTGGGGGTTGACATTGACAGTCTGACAGTTCATTGACCTTGACAGCCTTATAAAACAGCTGCGGAGTCATCTTTTGAAAGTACTTCAGTGTAATTGTCCCTGATATGAGGTGTCCCTAGAAGAGTCAGATTCAGAGACAGATGGTACATTGGTGGTTACCAGGCACTGGGGAGAGGGGAGGATGGGGAGTTACTATTTAGTGGGTACAGAGTTTGAGTTTGGGAAGATATAAAAGTTCTGGGGATGCAGGGTGGTGATGGTTGCACAACAGAGTGTGCTTAATGCCACTGAACTGTACACTTAAAAATGGTTAAAATGGTAAATTTTATGTTACATATATTTTACCATGATTAAGAAAAAGTGAATAATAACTAATGGTTGTGGGAATCTGAGGGGAGGGGGGAATGGAGAGTGACTGTTAATGGATTTGGGTTTTGGCGGGGGCAGGGGTGATGAAAATGCTGTAAAATTAGATAGTGATAATGGTTGTACAACTCTGAATATACTAAAAACCACTGACCGTACACTTTAAAAGGGTGACTTTTTATGGGCTATGACATACATACCGCAATAAAGTGGTTATAAAAAAAGGCTAGAAAGTTACATTTGAAAATTATTGTCAGTTACAGGGATATTAGGGTGATTTTCCTGGGGAAAGAAAAGTGCTTCGGTGTACCATTAAACACATGTAACCGTTTTCAGTTCAACAAACCTTGGCTGGGCACCTGCAGAGCTTTTAGGAAACTTGGGACCCGAAACTTAGGAGCCAGGCGTGATCGTAGCTTTACTGAGGTGAACCGGGTACCAGTCTGCAGTGTGCCCTGCAGGGACGAGTGGCTGAGATGCAGTTAATTACCAGTCAGGATGTTGTCCTGTCTGGGTAAAGCGACGGGGAGACGGGGAGAGGGAGGGGAGTGGGGACCAGGAGGGAATTAGGGGCAGCCTAAAAGAGAAGAGGATGAGACTAACTTGAGATGTCATGATTTTACAAAGCACTTTAATTTGTGTTATGTGTTATGTGTTCTTCATCAAAGTTCTATAATACAAACAGGATAGCTGTTATCTTTTTTTGTTGTTAAGTTAAGGAAATTGAGGCTCTGCTAGTTTGAGTGTCCTGCCCAAGGTTACAGCGCTAGTCATTTATGGAGCCGGACCAGCCACCTGTGCTCAGTGGTGTTCCTCAGAGCTCTCCTTGGGCAGCCTTGTGGCTTCCCTTATCAGAATTGGGCTTCTCTCCAAAGCACTTTTGGACTCCTGCCAGAATTACCTCAGACCTCCCTTGGCCAGTGGGGAATTTGCTGGAACTGATTTTAGGGAAACCGCTGTGACCAGCTCATCTCACCATCTTACCTCCCTGTCATTCTTGGTCATCCTCTGAAATACAGGTCTTTCCAGTAGCCTGTCTGTGTTTGTTCTGAGTCATCTCCAAGCTGATTTGCCTCTGCACAACCCTGACCCAATCTATTGTTTCCTTTCTTCCCGAACCTTTTCCATACATACCGAGGTCTGTGGACGCATGTCATAGGCAGAGGCGCACGGACAGGCTTGATGTGTTAGGTGGTCGGAAAAGTCATGACATATTCTATATTTTTTGTTGCAAAAATGCGTCATGACTTTTCTGACAAGCATATAGTATGGGAGCAGCCAGAAGGCCAGCTTGGCTGGCGTGGCCTGGGTGGGAGGGGAAGTGCCAGGAGCTGGGTCAGAGTTGAGCAGGAGACAGGGCGTGGAGCAGGAGACTGAGGGCCATACATAATAAGGGATTTGGAGTCTATTCTAAGTTATTTGGGAAGCCAGTGAAGCTTTTCATTGTTTTATTTTCCACTTTACTAATTCTTTAAATAGAGAAATATACTATGCCCTCTCAGTATTGAAATTTGAAAGGAAGACCACAAAATGATTCAGAAAGATAAAAAGCAAAAGCATACACCTTGGTTCCATATTATAGCCAGTTAAGGTGGAAAAAAAGGGTGGGGAGATACAGAACAGGGACAAATTAGACAAGATGCAGGAGGATGCTGCCCCGCGTGCACGTCTGTCCCCTCCGCCACGCTCGGCACTGTGAGTGGAGAGCTCTGAGAGTCATGCAGTGCCTGGGACAAGATCTTCACTTGGTGGCTGCTCAAGAAATAGCAGCTCAATAATTGAATGAATGTTGAATGAAAATTTCTCACAGGTAGGAAACTAGCCCTGTGTAGAAGGGTCCATAGACAAAGTACCCTTAGAAGAAAACATACATAGCTATAGAGACAGAAGGAAAAAGAGGATCAACTCATTAGAGGGTTTTGAGATCAGATTTGTTTATTTAAAGAATCACTCTAAAAGATCATTCTTCTGGCTGTGTGTGGAGAACAGGCTCCAGGAGGGGGAGATTAGAAAAGGGAAGGGTTAGGAGAGTGCTGGTCTCATCCAGGGGAGAGAGAGTTGGACAAGGGTGATGGCAGTAGAGGTACGATGGAAGGTGCGGCTCCCAGGACCTGCTCTGGAGTGGATGTGAAGGAGGGGCAGGAGCAACCAGCATGACTGTCTTAGTTGAAC